TTTCCTTTTTGTTTCTTGTTAGTTTTCTGTTTCTGTTTTTGTTTCTGTCACCGTTTCTGTTTCTATTTCTTGTTCTGTTTCTGTTTCTGGTTTTGTTTGTGTTTCTGTTTCTGATTTGGGCTCTGTTTCTGTTTCTGGTTCTGTTTCTGTTTCTGGTTTTGTTTCTATTTCCGTTTCTGTTTCTGTTTTTCTTTCTGTTTCTGGTTATGTTTCTGTTTCTGTTCGTGTTTTGTTTTTGTTCCTGTTTTTGTTTCTGTTTCTGTTTCTGTGTCTGGCATGTTTCTTTTTCTGTTTCTGTTTTCTTTTCTGTTTCTGGTTCTGTTTGTATTTAAATTTCTGGTTCTGTTTCTGGTTCCGATTAAGTTTCTGTTTATATTTCTGTTTTAGTTTCTGTTTCTGTTTCTGTTTCAGATTCTGTTTCTGCTTCTGTTTCTGGTTTCTCGTTCTGTTTCTGGTTCTGGTTCTGTTTCTGTTTCCCTTTCTGTTTATGGTTCTGTTTATGTTTCTGGTTCTGTTTACTATTCTGTTTCTGTTCCTGGTTTTTTTCTGTTTCCTATTTGTTTCTGTGCCTGTTTTTATTTATATTTTTAGTTTTTTTTCCTTTTTGTTTCTTGTTAGTTTTCTGTTTCTGTTTTTGTTTCTGTCACCGTTTCTGTTTCTATTTCTTGTTCTGTTTCTGTTTCTGGTTTTGTTTGTGTTTTTGTTTCTGATTTGGGCTCTGTTTCTGTTTCTGGTTCTGTTTCTGTTTCTGGTTTTGTTTCTGTTTCCGTTTCTGTTTCTGTTTTTCTTTCTGTTTCTGGTTATGTTTCTGTTTCTGTTAGTGTTTTGTTTTTGTTCCTGTTTTTGTTTCTGTTTCTGTTTCTGTGTCTGGCTTGTTTCTTTTTCTGGTTCTGTTTTCTTTGCTGTTTCTGGTTCTGTTTGTATTTATATTTCTGGTTCTGTTTCTGGTTCCGGTTTAGTTTCTGTTTATATTTCTGTTTCAGTTTCTGTTTTTGTTTCTGTTTCAGTTTTTGTTGTTGTTTATGTTTCTGTTTCTGTTTCTGGTTCTGGTTCTGTTTCTGTTTCCTTTTCTGTTTCTGGTTCTGTTTGTGTTTCTATTTCTGGTTCTGTTTCTGGTTCCGGTTTAGTTTCTGTTTATATTTTCAGAAAACCTATTTACTGACAGGCTCGTAACTATTTATACAGGAAAAAATGGATGCATTTATGGTTGTAAACTTCTACAAATTCTCGAACAACGAAGTCGATTTGATATTAAAAAAATAGTTTTGAAAAGTCTTAAACAAAAGACAAATAGGGTCCCCTCGTTTAATGTATTGTTTTGAATAGGGTTTTAAACCACCGCAAACTGGTTTATGTAAGTTGGGAAAATTCAACTACCAGTCCCCGTTTTTTCGTAAACGAAAT